CGAAATTTAGTCGATTGCTCTCCGTACTCATAGATAATTTCGAAAGAATTCATCAATAACGTTTAGAGTTATGAATGAAAAATGATTCTTTGCATGATAACCTTGCTCATATCAAAACCAAATTTTAATGTGTTCGTGCTTGTACCAATTCCTAGATTTTTTATCAGAACTCTCTCGGCAACTATTTTTTGGGAAATAATGTTTAAAAATAATACAGCATTAGTACCAATTTTAGTACAAATTTGGTTACTTGTGTGTGCTGACATGGAATGCATGTCTTGGCTGACAGAACAAGGTAGTTTTATCAATCTTCTCTAAAATTATTAAATTTAACTTTTGGAAAATGAAAAGTGTTTCTTCACATTTCAAAATTTCGTTCTGAAAAGAGCACATATTGGTATGGGTATGAATATTATTGAATATTTTCGAAAAATTTACTTTTAATTTAGTGATAACAGTTCCCTCCCATAATGCATTGCACATAGTATGCTCAGTAATTTCAATTCTACTTAAATAAAAATATGATTTTTATTGTGAGTCACTTTTCAACTGATTTTGGTTGCAGAGACATGCGGTTTAGCTAAACCATTTATAGTAATTTGATTGGGGTGAATTTGCAATGAGAAAGGGGCCATGCCCCTGTTTTTAAACGGAATGTGCTATAAAAGTTCCGGGGAATCTAATCCGCAATACGTAAATGGGCGTGTCCGTGTGCGTGAGCGTTGACCTTTCGTGATGTGTCATTGTCATCATACAATTCCTAATTTCCGAGTTACTATTTTTCTCATGAAATTCGATAGAGGGCGTTCTCAAAGTTCCCGGATGACAGTCCGTTCAACGTTCTTGGTGGGGTTGAAATTTGAGCGGCGTCTGCTGTAAGCAATATATTATTAGTTACTGTTGCCGAAGTCTTATTTTTTACAAACGTTTTGCAAGAATTGGTCAAAATGGTTAACTGGCATTGTAATGCCCCAGACTATTCCTTGGGTTCGATTAAAAAGAAAAAAACAGCGAAATATCCTGAGATGAAAGGCGTAACTTTTCATACATTTCTTTCGTCCAAGAAATCAACACTTTCAACGCCAGTGGATTCGAATGCGTCGTTGGGAATCTGAGTGGACGCCAAACT